CCCTCCCTTCCTCCCTCTCTCTCTCTGTCTGTCTTTCTTTCTGTCTTTCTCTCTCTTTCTCTCTTTCTTTCTTTCTTTCTTTCTTTCTTTCTTTCTTTCTTTCTTTCTTTCTTTCTTTCTTTCTTTCCTTCTTCATCCTTTGTGTATGATGTATAAAATATGTGAGTGAAAGTAACATATAGTGCACGTGTAGAACAAAGGACAACACTTGGTGTTGGTCTTCAAATCTCACCTTGTTTGAGACAGGGTGTCATCAGGGAACTTTCCAGACATGGGATTCACGGTAGAGAAGACTTAATGCATACCTTCTCTTTGCAGAAAGACAATGACCCTCATCAACTTGGACTTCTCTAAAGCACTGAGACACTAAAACTCCTTGGATTTGTATCCCTAAGGGAGAAGTGCTTTTTTTCATGTACTACAGCTTCCTGTACCTATAAACTAGAAAACAGAGAAAATGGCCTCGTATGAATAATACTAGTTATAATACTACCATCCAGCTAGAACTTTCCAGGCATGAGGCTGGAAAATGATCTGAGGTTCCCTATATGTAATTATGTTTTGCTTTCCTGGAACAGTTAAATCTCTATAGACAGACACTGTTACATGGAATCTACACTTCTAGCCTCCTCCAGTACTGCATGTGTAGTAATCAGCTCCTTTTTAAGAGAAGGATATATGGGATCCTCAGTTTGCCCTCTCCAAGTCATCCTGCCCACTGTCTCCAGGTTCACTCTGAGGGTCACCTCCTCTAATCAACCACCACCAAGCGGTTCCCAACTCCTTTCTTTCCTGTTAAGGAAAATGTCAAATGAAGTTTTGCTCTCCAGAATACAAACCCCCTTTCCTTGCAAAACTGAAATCAAATTAAATCTCACTTTAGAGATTTTCAGTTGACCCTGACCAATAGACTGAAGCTTTCCAAAATCTCACACTATTAATGGGTATAAGCTACAAAAAGATAATGTTAGTCTTATGTCAGACAAACATAAGTTCAGGAAAACAAGTTGTTTCCAGGCTGCTGAATCTTATGCTGATGATCTTCTTGGTCCACCTTATCAGTTCTTTTATGAAGGGGAAAAGACCCCACAGTCAAGGAGGCCATTTCCTAAGAAAACCATTAATGAGCCATGAAGTCCTGTCTTGGAACTCCAAGATAAATATTTTCAAGCTTCTGTAGTAGAGGGATTAAGAAGGGCAGTCTGATATACCTGTCTCCTGGGAGGCTCTGCCAGAGTCTATCGTATACAGAGGCAGATACTCACAGCTAACCATTGAATTGATCACAGAGTTCCCAATGTAGGAGTTAGAGAGAGGACTGAAGGAGCTGAAGGGGTTTGCAGTCCCAGTGGGGAGAGTGATGGGATAGAGTGTTCCTGGGTGGCAGCGGCGGGCGGGGGATGTGGTAAGGGGATAGCATCTGAAATGTAAATAAAATATCCAATAAAAAACAGAAACAAAAAAAGAATTTATAAATGGGAACTCATATAATTGCGAAGCTTCTGTAAGGCAAACTATACTGTCAATAGGACAAAATGGCAACCAACAGATTGAGAAAAGATCTTTACCAGTCATACATCTGATAGAGAGCTAACATCCAATATATACAAAGAACTCAAGAAATTAGACTCCAGACAACCAAACAATCCTATTAAAAATGTTGTACAGAGCTCAATAAAGAATTTTCAACTGCGGAGACTCAAATGGCCAAGAAGCACCTAAAGAAATGTTCAGCATCCTTAGTCATCTGGGAAATGAAAATCAAAACAACTCTGAGATTACACCTCACACCAGTCAGAAGGGCTAAGATCAAAAACTCAGGATAGCAGAAGCTGGTGAGGATGTGGAGAAAGAGGAACAGTCCTCCATTGTTGGTGGGATTGCAAGTTGGTACAACCACTCTGGAAATCAGTCTGGCGATTCCTCATTAAATTAGACACAGTATTACATGAGGACCAAACTATACTACTCCTGGGTGTATACCCAGAAGATTCTCCAACATATAACAAGACACATGCTCCATTATGTTCCTAACAGCCTTATTTATAATAGTCAGAAGCCAGAAAGAACCCAGATATCTTTCAAGAGAGGAATGGATACAGAAAATGTGGTACATTTACACAATGGAGTATTACTCAGCTATTAAAAACAATGAATTTGAGAAATTCTTAGGCAAATGGATGGAACTAGAAAATATCATCCTGAGAGAGGTAATCCAATCACAAAAGAACACACATTGCATTCACTCACTGATTATTGGATAGTAGCCCAAAAGCTGGCAAAACCCAAGATGCAGCTCACAGACCACTTGAAGCTCATCAAGGTGGAAGTCCAAAGTGTGAGGGCTTTGGTCCTTCTTAGGAGTAAAAAATACTCTTGGAAGCAAATATGGAGACAAAGTGTGGGACAGAAATTGAAGGAAGGAAGGAATTTCAGAGTGGTAGAATGTATGAGAGCAGAAAGAAGGCAGCAGGTGGCAGTCTTGGTAGCTGAAGAAATAACTCAGGGCTCACATCTCAAATTGCATGATTGCATACATGCATGTATGTGTATAAGTATGTATGTATATGCATGTATGTATGTATGTATGTATGTATGCATGTGTATGTATGTATTTATGTTAGTATACATGTGTACCATGTATGTACTTGACTGGAATTATAAATGGCTGAGAATCATCATGTGAATGCTTAAAATGAGTCAAGACTGAGTCTTTTATAAGAGAAGCAAGTGCTCTTAACTACTGAGGTGAGTCTCTACCCCCATAACTTTCTCTTTAAAATATTTCTCCTTTTTCATTGTCTCCATTCCTTCTCTCCTGTCCACATATCTGTTACCTCCTGATTCAATATTCCCTCTCCTCTCCTCTCCTCTCCTCTCCTCTCCTCTCCTCTCCTCTCCTCTCCTCTCCTCTCCTCTCCTCTCCTCTCCTCTCCTCTCCTCTCCTCCCCTCCCC